TCTGAACTGTGGGTAAATCACTGGCCACTAATTCCACCTATAACTGACATGATTTCCATTAAAAAGTTCCTGATTTCTCACTTTCATATAATTTAAGTGACTTAAAAGTGATGTGATTTGTTAACAGTTACAGATTAAGATAAAATGATTAGCCATCCTGTATTTTTTTTTATATTACTCAATAGGCTGTTTAACAATGAAAATATTTTAACACAATTCCAATAATAGTTTAAATAAACACTGATTTATTTTTTCTTTAACCAAACCAGCGATTTTGCAATGTACTGGTATACCAAGACTTAACTAGGGTAATTATGTTAACTAGGTAAGTTAGGTTAAATACGCAAGTAATTGGACAAAAATGTTTTGTTCTGTACACTGTAAAAAAAATCCTGGTTGCCCTAAATTTTTAAACTGAAGCAAATTAACATTAGAATAGACAATTTATTTTATGTTAAACTGACTTAAAGCATCATGCATAACTTTAAAATTATTTTAGAACTTAATTAACTTTAAGTTTAATATGTTATAATATCCAAAGCATAATAATAATAATAATAATAATAATAATAATAATAATAATAATAATAATAATAATAATAATAATAATAATAATAATAATAATAATAATAATTTGGGTCCAAGTGTGCTTTAAGCTTGTTAATAGTTGTCAAATAGTATTGTTAGTAGTTTTAAACATGCTGTTAATCAGCCCCTACTCAAGAAAGTGAATCTTGATGCCTCAGACATGAACAATTGTTGCCCTATTTTTAAACTACCTTTTTTTCTCAAAGATTTTAGAGAAGATAGTGTATGTATAGTGTATGCTGAATCTTTTCTTGGTTAATAAAAATATTTTATATACATTTCAATCAGATTTTAGAGCTGGTCATAGCACAGAGTCCGCTCTATTGAGGGATTCAAATTATATTTTGTTGGAGGTTGATTTAGGTAACCCTGTTGTCTTTCTACTATTGCATCTAGTAATAACAATAATAGGAATAAGAATAAGAATAAGAATAAGAATAAGAATAAGAATATTCATCATCATTATCATCATCATTATTCATTCATTTTCTTTTCGGCTTAGTCCCTTTATTAATCTGGGGTCGTCACAGTGGAATGAACTGCCAACTTATCCAGCATTTGTTTTACGCAACGGAAGCTGCAACCCATTATTGGGAAACATCCATACACTCTTATTCACACACATACACTATGGTCAATTTAGTTTATTCAATTCACCTATAGCACATGTCTTTGGGGGACTTGTGCAGGAAACTCAGAGGAAACGTCAATATAGGGAGAACATGGAAACTCTGAACAGAAATGCCGAATGACCCAGCAGAGGCTCGAACCAGCAACTTTCTTGCTATGAGGCGAATAAAAAAAAATTTAATAATAATAATAACAATAATAATAATAATAATTTTCCTGAAAAAGGAACAGACATTGTTTAAAAATTAATATTTAATTCATTAAAGACAATCTTGTGTTTTATTAAAAAAAATCACAAAGAAGCTATGGTTGAAGCAGATATTATTTCTTTTGTCAAGCTGTCAAACTAACACTGAACCCACAGATCATTTGGAGAAAATCGATCAGACTCCAGGTCTGGTTTGAGCTACATACAGAATATCCTTGCATCACACTTACACTAAAGCTCAAGATTCCCCATTAACCTCAACCTTAATTTCTGACACAGTTTGACACAATGTCAGATTGTGATTTACATTCAGCTCTAAAAGAAAACGCAGACGCTTCATTTCCTCAGCACAGTGAGCACAGACACGTGTTTCTTTCTTCTCAACACTCTGATGATGCCAAGCTTCTATAGCAAACTCTCAGAGGAAAAGCACTTTCTTTCCCAAACTTTGTGAAAAAGGCTGCATGCTGGGAATTAACATCTTGAAGTAAACCAAAGACGGTAACATCTATATGTAAAAAAATTCACAAACACAGGTCAAACCATACCGCCTTTAGAAGCAGACACATGAGCTACCCTAGATTCTTGAGTCCTACTGTATATGCAAAGACACTGTACAAGCCCGTTTTATCATTCATTAATGATCCATGCTATCTATTTGATTAAATCTTTTTACTTGCTTAGAGCTGGCAAATTACTGATGTAATATTAATTAACTCTATTAAATCAAATGAACAACAAAAATAGATTAACATTATACAGAAAATGCATTTATGTTAATTTTTGTATGTTTGTGACTAAATTGTTCTATGTACATTGTGTGTACTGAATATTATACTTTCATATACTACATATAGGGCACATCAGGTAAACAGTAATGCTGATGATACATGCAGCAACTTTATGAGCAATGTTGCTGGGCAACTTTGGGAAATGATGCCATAAATGGGCAGCCATGTGAGAAAAGGGCAACTAATTAGGGCAATGGGACAATATTGTTGCCTATTCAAAATAGAAAAGTAGCCAAGCAACATCGCTCTGCAAAACTGCCTGTCAACATTGTTCAAAAAGATTAAAGATTAAAGAAGTTTTAAAGATTAAAAAAAGTAAAAATAATAATAATAATGAAATTAAAATTTAATGTTGTGTGTTTTTATCTGCAACGGAAGGACTAGTTAACTTTACTCTTAAATAAATAAATCTACTTAATAAATTCATACATTTACTAAATACATAAATAAATAAAAAAATAACAAACAAGAAAATAAATAAATAAATAGACTAACTATATATAAGTATAACTAAATAAACAAACAAATAAATTAATAAATTTACTAAATAAACAAATGAATGTATGAATGTATGAATGAATGAATTAATAAATAAATAAATAAATAAATAATAAAAAATGAAAAAATAAATAAAAATTAAAAATTAAAAAATAAAAATTATCTTTACTCGTTTTAATATTTTGAGCAAGATCCATTCAATCTGCCTATAGACGCAGCAAACACAGATTCACATTACTATTTTCATACTGTTTTTCATATTTGACCCTTAAAGGTAGTCTCCATTTTGGTTAAATTTAGCTCAGGAGCACGCAGATACACACTCAATATCCCAACAATAATATTTTAGAATCTTTGAGGGCAGCCAGGCCAGGGATCCCCACATGCAGGGCCCTATATGCACTCAGTCACCCTTTCCTCCCCACTTATGATGCCCTTGCAGACATACAATCCACACAGTGGCAGGATTCCTCCATCTCCTCTTAACATAGAGCATGTGTTCATCATAACTGAGTACGCCACTAACAGATCCCTCTTTCAACTGAATACTCTTTAAAAGAAGCTTTACAATAATATATTAGTGTATATTAGTCAAATTAGTCAAAACCAACAAAAATCTGGAACTAAAGGTTATACAGCAAACTAGTGAGTAACGCAAAAGTGTGCACACCTAATTTAATAAGCTAGAATTAAACAAAATTTGTACAAACTGGAAAAAAAATCAAGAAAACTTTATATATATATATATATAAACATATAATTTAGTTGAAATTTTGAAGTTCACACATTTTTTTTTTTTTTTTTTGCAACAGCTCATTTGAATTCATTCATCATGATCATTTTTTTATTCCTAAATATGTAAGGTGACCAAACTCTTATGTTCAATGGCTATAACTGTATTAAATAACTGTATGGATATAACTGTAATAAAACCATTTTGCTTAAAAACACCAAAACATATAGTCTACTGTAAGCTGAGAAAATCTTATATACTATTTATTCTATGCTAATGAAGACTATTGGAAACATTCCAAGCACAGGAGGAGTTCCTCACATCTCCAATACACATCTCTGCCATTTGTCTTACAGAAAGAATGTGCTTTCTTACCATACACAATAAATCTGCTCATGATCTTCTTTCATATATATCTTAATTCCCCGTCATGATTGTGAAGTGCTTTAGGTGTATGGCCATGCATGGTAAATGTGCTATAAATCCACATTACATTACATATAACTTTGTCATGTTTGGTGTCATTTGACAGGTTATGACTTTAGCACTATAGTGATGAAATCATCAGAGACATTGATTTATTTCAATATACAATCTGTTTACTATAGTTGCGTCATGGCCTGAGGAGAGTATGTTAATCTTTATCTCCTGAACTTTGCATTGATGTTTAGCTGGTTTTGGAGGTTTGGTATTTCACTCATGTTTGACAATGCTTTGCTCAGGGTATAATAAGGAAAGGTAACTGTTGATCGGGGGGAAAATGGCTTTTACTTTGCATCTCCCACAGACTAGTGTGTAGCCTCATATGCTAACAAAGGCAGTTTCACTGTCTTTGTTACACAGCAGTCCATATGTTATAGCTATGTTTCTCTATACAGTATGCTAGTTTGTTTCATTCTACTGTCTGTATATTTAAACAAGTAACTGAATAAACAAATTTGCCTTATTTAAGGCATTGAGATTCTCTTTATCAATTAAGATAACAACTTTATAAAAAATGTCAAATTAATTACAGTGTTTTCAATTATTGGTTCAGAATAGCAGCGTTCGCTTCAAGCCTCAGTCTGCACTCAGTAAGAAATGGATAGTGATATACATTTTCAAAAGCTGGTGTACTCAACCACGCTGTGCACTGCATTCGCATCCATTAAAAATATTGAACAACATTTTAACCAACAAAAAAAAATCTAAAAAAACGTAAAAAAATATATGATTTAGTTAAAATCTTGTAGTTTGTAAACAAAAAATTGCAGCAACTCATTTGAATTTAAATGATTATCTTTAAATTCATAACGATTTTCAATTGACCACACTATTATTTTAATGAGTATAATATGAATATAGAAAGTTTAATGAAACTGTTTTGTTTAAAAGCACCAAAACATACAGTCTAAACTCACATAAATACTGTACAGAAATATAAATATTCACTCATCCACGCTGTGCACTGTATTCACATTCATTACAGTGGTACACGGTGGGACATGACAGCCAGCACTTCAACAGAGTGTAAGCGAAAGGAGGGGGCGACTGTGCGCCAACAGCCATTTACCTGTTAGCGAGCAGCGTCGTGAAGGTCACCTGACTCATGTTCTGATAGGCTGGCAGCAGTTGTGCCCAATCCCACTCCCTCTCACCCAGAGCACCCTGTTGATAAATGAGCAGCGAGTATTGTTCGTTATTAATCAGAGTTAATATGATCAGTAAATTACTGCTCCAGCTGGGCTGGACTAACCAAGAAGGAAGGGGGTGGTGTGGGGAAGGGGGGGTCCTGAACAAGGCCGCCCCAACACGATCTATCTATCATGTCTGCACAAGAAGGTTTTTATTCCAATAAGACAGCAATTAATTTATAAATCCATTTGGGGAGGGATGTACCATCATTTATAAAAAGATAAATCAATTTAGTAAGAAGAGTCGTTATTCTTCCTCTTCAAGGTTTCCCCTCACCCAAGAGTGGACCGTGCCTTTGTTAGAGAGCCAAATTAAATACGATTCCTCTGATAGCCGGAACGTCACTCCTAACTTGAGTTTTGTTGTTTATTTATTTATTTTTTTATTGACAAAAGGACAGGAGCATGCCAGCCCCTCCTATTCTCCAACCAGCTGATTGATGGATCAGCATTCGTTTTTTTTCTTTCTTTTTTTCTTCCTACATTTGATTTGACAAACAGCACAGCCACCTGAAGGCGAGGAGGCTTTTTAATCATCCCCTTAATAAGGTGTTTTATGCAAAGCAATGCGAGCGCGGGCGATAAGAAGAAAACAAAAGAGATTAAAAGTGTAGCAGTTAGCGCTGCACGACGGGTAAAGAACTCGCATTTTAAAACCGACACAAAACTCTGAGCCAAATAAGATAACGAAAGAAAAAGTTCTGCTATTAAATAATAATAAAATAGGTAGCAGACTTTCCAGGTTCAAAGACGATCCAAAAAGTCTCATGACATGAGCTGAGAAAACTTTATCGCACCTTTAAGAGAAAGCCAAAAGAGGACCATGGCTCTTGTAATTAAACCTTCAACCTACACCGTCTTCAACACGCAAGGGATGCCTTTTTTTTTTTCCCTCCTCCATGTCTTTGTTCAAAGCCACATCACACTTGAAGAGTTCACCTTTCAAGTGTTTTCAAATGCTTTGCTCTTTTGGTTAACCTTTTTTAATGTTTTGCTTTGTGTCTTCCCTTCACACTAAAATATAGCTTAGGGACAGAGCGACCTATGGAGAATTGTGGAGTTCATCCTGAAGAAGCCGGTTTTAAAGTCTTTCTTATATTCACCTTGCCTGGTGGCCTTGACGGAAAGTTACACTCGTTCGAGCGTGACAGAGTAGAGAAGCGTGAAGTAGTTCACGGCGTTAACGAACTGCTTTAAATAAAAGTTATGTGAACAAGACGTATTCAGAAACACTCGCGGCACCTTGACATGAAGGATGAGAGGTTCAAATATAAAGAAAATAAGAGGAAATAAATACTAACCTGATCAAACTTGTTATGGCCGATAGAATTGAACTCTCTGAGGGGGTTGAAATGGGATAGGTGGGTGTTTGGGTCACTTTCTTCAGTGGAGAATACCACAGGTCCCAAAGGGGAATCTGGAGGTGCATTTGTCTTTGAATGAGGTATCAGGACAGACCTCAGTAAATCCTATTGAAAAGAAAGCAGAAGCTCAATGTAAAACTGAAGCATGGTTTGATATCTACACCAATTTCTTTGCAAGAATTTTTCTTTTCCAGCTATTTACGGTTTCAAATTGCCTTATTAGACTTAGATCTGTTAACTTTGTGAATTTGGACATGTTTTGTAGTTTCAAACATTTTATTTGTCTACTGTAGTTTGTTTATTGTGAATTACAGCACAAAAGACAGAGCTGCCAGCGCTTATTAAATGGGTTTAATTATCCCTTATCACTATAATATTTAATTATATACATGAACATTTTCCAAATGAAGTTTATCACAGCAAAGACATTTTCACAGTATTTTCTATATTGTGTTTATTTATATATCTTTTAGTTTGGTTGGATTAAAAGCAGATTTATTGTTATTATTTTAATAATTGTATAATATGATAGTCAATATTATAATGAATAAATAATTAGATATACTATTAAAATAATTACTGATTGGCTACAGAAATAAATTATCGTTGTCCAAAAATTTGCGTAATTAATATATTTTGCCTAGTTAACCTAATTAACCTAGTTCAGCCTTTAAATTTCAACAACACACACACACACACACACACACACACACATATATATATATATATATATATATATATATATATATATATATATATATATATATATACACACACACACATTTATACAATAATAACTTCTTTGACTTCTAGTTGATCATTTGCACTTTTTTTTACCAAAATAAAATATGATCATGCCTTGCTTTTTAGTTATTTAATTTGGACAGTAAGGTCTGACTTTGCATAGACAAAAGTTTTGTCACTTAACAGAAATAATGTCCACTATAGAATATAAAGTCATGGTGCAGTGGAAAAAGAATAATACTGTCTTGATTTTTGTTTCACCAAATATGACTGACTTCTGTGAGAATCTTTGGTCCATGAGGGTTCCTGCAGTATTTGTGATGATTGGGATGAAGTTTACCGATGATTCATTAGAAAAGTCGACCTTCTACCATTTTTACAAAATATCAACAATAAGTCAAGTTATTATTTGTTGCTTTCACAACTGGGATCAAGGACTAGACTTTTGTCAAGCAGTTTGTGTGTGTGTAATATAAAATTATATATATATAATTTTTAATAAGTTATCCCTTTTGTCTTTGCAATGATGCCTGTGCATAATATTTTTCTACTTACTTTGCAAGATACTAGTATTTTAAAGGTTGTTGCAATTTAAATGCTTATCTAGGTTAATTGTGTTAACAACTCTAAAATTAGTTCAAACAACTAAAAATGTCAATTAAACTTCAGAATTAAATCTAACAAATCTGACATTGTATAAGCAAGGATAAATATACAATAATGCATTTTGAAAGCATAAATATATGAGAAACATCTGCACATCTTAAGCTACAGGCTAACATTTTTTTTTTATTTTTATTTTTTTTTACAGCATGTCAAGTGCCTGTGTTGGAAAATGAAAAATACTTTAAATGGCTTTACATTCAACTCTGTGAGTACACTGATGTACACATTAAAATACAGTATAGAAAAGGTTTAGATTGGGCTTTGGATAAATACACATCACTGAAATGAACAGGAACCTGAACACATCTTATTATTAGACTGCATTAAGCAAAAATATAACACCATTAAAGTTGTCAAATGAACAATGCGTCTCTACAGGCTTCTTAAACACATCATCGGACAAATTAGTACATTTCAACAATTATTATAACACATCCAATTTTGGACATAATGGACATTTTTTACATCTCTATTCCCCAAGTAATTGGCCGACAATGGTAAAAACTAATCATTCTATCTAGGAATAGGATTTGTTAAAACAGGACATTGGAAGAGGACAGAGATATCTATAGATCTGACACGAAGAATTGTCCTCAAGATTAGACTTAAGTGAGAGATGTACTAATTTCCCAAGATGTGTTCTTATTGTTAAGTAGAGCAAGGGGCCTGGAAGTGTAATGTAAGTGTAGAGAGAGAGACTTTGACTAATTTGCGCATTCCTTTTGTTTAAGATGTTGTTATTTCCCAATCGTGTTTTTTTTTTTTTTTTCAATCAGGTCAAGGCTGTTAGAGAAGCCTTGCAGCGGCGTCTGGATGCGGTTGTGTCTCGGCACAGCAGCTCTGCACAGGCGTTCGCCTCAGCTTCAGGTCACACTGTCTGCCTCAGGCTAACAGCCACCTAATTGCTTGGTGAAAAACAGCAATTCGCTACCTCATTGAGCTGGATGCTGTGATGGATTTGCCGGAGGTGCTGGCTGCCACCTGCTCTATGGCACAGCTCCAGCAGCAACTGCCTTATTTTATGCTCAGTCAGTTCCGCGGGCACACCTCTATCCTGCGCAGAGCCGCTTTCCACACGCTCAAACACACTGATGGAGGAACACAGACAAGCAGAGAGGGGAGAATCAGTGAAATCACTGCAAATAATGTTATTATATTACACAATCTGAACACTTCTAAAGGCATTTATATAATAACTGTAAGGTCCTATTTGGTTTTTAATAGGACATTTTCATTATTATTGCTTTTTAATTGTGAGAATTACAAAAACATATCTTTGTTTATAGTGTCTTTTATTGCATGTATATATTTGTGGGAAATGCCAACAATACATTGTATGAGTCACAATTGTTGATTTATTTTGTGCTAAAAATCAGTAGAATATTAAATAAACATCATCTTCCATGAAGATAAAACAAATCCTGCGCTCTCAAACTTATATATCAAATAGATATACTTATAGTATATCAAAACTTAGTTTCTGATCAGCAATATGTATTGCTAAGAACTTAATTAGAGTTTATTTAATTAGCCAAATATCATCTTATCAAACAAAGCAATTTGACCCCTCATGATTGGTTTTGTGGTCCAGAGTCACACTTGTTTTCTTTTAAAAACTATAAAAATACTACCAATACTTCTAATAATGGTGCATTTAAAATTATTATTAAAATAGACTTATTTTATTAAATTGAATAAGATTAATCACAGTTAATGTACCTTAAAAATGAATGTTTTGCTCATTTTAATATTACATTATAACTTCAAGCTCGAGTGTCACGGTGGCGAAGTGGGTAGCACAATCGCCTCACAGCAAGAAGGTCGCTGGTTTCCTCAGGGTGCACTAGTTTCCCCCACAGTCTAAAGACATGCGATATAGCAATTAAATAAGCTAAATTGGCCATGGTGTATGAGTGTGAATGCTAGAGTATATGGGTGTTTCCAAGTGTTGGGTTGCAGCTGGAAGGGCATCCTGTGCATAAAACATGGGCTGGATAAATCAGCAGTTCATTCCGCTGTGACAACCCTAGACTAATAAAGGAAATAAACCAAAAAGTAAATGAACGATAGAATGAATTTCAAGCTCCTCAATTTGTAGTAGGGTATTTTAATTGTAGCATTTTTAAATTGTTATTAGTGGAAAATACTACCAATAAATTGAGAATACATTTAAAATATTTTAAAATGTATAAAATGTACACATCTAGATATTAATCATAGTTATTTTATTTTACACAAACAGTTTAACTTATCTTAAAGCTCACATTTAATTTTAAAATGATTATACTGTATATACAGTGTTGGAGAAATGCGTTACAAGTAATACGAGTTACCTGATAATATTACTTTTTTAGGTAATAAGTAATGCACTACTTTTTTTTTAAAAAGTAATAATATTTAGTTGCTTTAAAAAATACTTTTTAGCTACTTTTTTTAGTTTAGTTAATTCACTTATAAATTGCTAAATTGCTAAACGTAGTCATGTTAAATCCAGCACGCAATGAGAGAATGCAAGAACGGACAGATATGAAGATAGCAGAGTCTTACATTTCTTTGAGGAAATTATTCTCATTATTTTAAACACTTGGAAGAAAAGGAAAAGACAGTTATCTGAATGGACAGGGATTTTACTTTTTAATACGACAAATAGTACAAAAGTAGCAAACGCATAGCTACATATAGCCCGCCTTTGAATTTTAAATATTTCACAAATTATGTTTAACAGAGCAAGTCAATATTCACAGTATTCTGCTAATATTTTTTTCTTCTGGAGAAAGTCTTTTTTGTTTTATTTCAGCTGGAATAAAAGCAGTTTTTACATTTTTAAAAACTATTTTAGGGTCAAAACGATTTGCCATTGTTATACAATAGCTTGTCTAATTACCCTGACCTGTCTAGTTTATCTAATTAACATAGTTAAGCCTTTAAATGTCACTTTAAGCTGTATAGAAGTGTCTTGAAAAATATCTAGTCAAATATTATGTACTGTCAACATGGCAAATAAAAAATAAATCAGTTATTAGAAATCAGTTATTAAAACTATTATGATTGGAAATGTGTTGAAAAAAAATCTTCTCTCCGTTAAACAGAAATTGGGGAAAAATAAAAAGTGGGGCTAATAAATCTGACTTCAACTCTATGTTGAAAAACAAATACTGCTAACAGGCATGTGACCTTTAAATATAATAATAAAATATATGAAAAGTCTAATCTCATTTATTTAATTCTACACACTTTTAACAGAATTTTCCCTAATTCATTTCTAAATGGGAGATTTTATTTATTCTAGGATTTTACATTGTCTTTTAAAACAGTAAAAAATACCTCCTGTACTACTAGTTGTAATAAATGTGCATTATGCATTAAATTAAGCATTTTTTTTACTCTTTAATTTAACGCATGGTAAACAGATAAAAACATATGATTGTGCATGTGCACTGCAAACAACACAGTGTGTAGAATTAAAAATAAGTAAAATGTTTTATTTGACCTAATCTTATATTACTTTTCAAACCCCGTCAAATGACACTTAACAAAGCTTTTGTGATGTAAAACAGCATTCACTATAGGACCGAGTTGCATCGCCATCAGGCATTGTTGTGTTTGCACCTCCACATTTCACACAAAAACCTGCAGGTGTACCATTCAAAATGAAAAGTGCTGCCTGTTGCCAGTTTTGTTACTTTTTTTAATACAAGAAATTAATTTGGAAAGACAGTAAGAAGAAAGACACATCTAGAGTCCCGCTTGCTGTAACCTCAAGGTCTCCACAATGCACCCGTCCCGTTGCCCTTCCTCTCTATCCAGCACGCCTCATCACCCTCACCACACGTCCCATCCGATACACCCACCCCCATCATTGTTTCCCCATTCCTTCTTCCTTCCTTTTTTTATTTTTCAATCTCAAAGTGACAAGGAAAGTGTCGCCTGTCAGGCAGGCCTTTAGCTTCAATGACACAGAGAGAAGCGTATAGAGGCCCTGGGCAGCCCAGCCGGCGAGCGGGTGTCAGCACCTGTGCCTGTATCCTTCCCTGTCCATCAGTGTGCAGGTGAAGCAAATGATTGGATCCAGTCAGCGGCTTGATTAATGAGAGGCCCGTCGGATCCGGGACAAGCTATCAATCACGTCATTAGGACCAATGTGCCCCGAAAGAAGCAGAACACCCCCTCCGCCCACCGAATCCACTGCATTCATCTTCATCTGTGCATGCATGCCGTCAAAGCCTGCCAGGGTCACCGTGATGGAGAACAATCATCTTCTCCTCTACAAATTACTTTGCAAAGACAAGAGATGAGGGAGGTGTGTGTATGTGTATGCATGTGTGTGTGTGTTGACAAGCCGAGGGGGGGGTGTTTTTCAGAGAAGCCGCTTTCCGCCGACACACTGTACGTTGATTGTTTACACCGGAGGCAGTGCCTGAAAGTGAAGGTTATTTTAATGAATAGTAATGGTTCCACTGACTGTCTAAGACAGGCGATACATAATCACTCTTCCTTTTTGCTATCGTCCTTTTTTTCTGTTTTTCCTGTCACTGAGAGCAGCATTTCTGGGAACACTAAAAGTTGTGTTTATTTATATAAATATTTTTTTTTTATCTACTCTCTTGTGAAGCTAGATCATTTTCAATAAGGGTAATTAACTCTGAGCTTTAGTCTTGGACATGATTGGTACGGTAAAAGTTTTTTTTTTTTTTCAACAGTGAAAAATAGCATAAAGTATGAGGTCACATTTGAAAAGTGCTCAAAAATCAATCGTTTGAAGAAATGAATAGTACAGGATCATTATTTAAGCAGGGGTTTCTAAACTTAGTTTTGGAGAAAAAGTTCATCAAAAACAGTGTAGTTGAAAAGAAAGAAAGAAAGAAAGAAAGAAAGAAAGAAAGTTAACAAGTAAGCAAGAAAGGAAAGCAAAGCAATTACTAAATAACCCTCGTTCTCTGAGGAGGGCAACGGAAATGCTATGTGGAAAACATCCACTATGGGGATTTTGTCAGAAACCAATCATCTAAAAGAGTAATAAAATGGGCCAATGAAATGCCCGATGAGTTAGCAGCATCAGCGTGCAATGGGGAACTTCAATGCTATATGGAAAACTTCCACTAAGGGGAAATGTATGGAAAATGCCATAGCGATTAAACCTTACCACGCCAGTGGTAAGAGGTTTGCCAGGGTACGGCGTAAGGGCACCATCATCACCAGAGACGCAGCCCTCCAACATGCCCCCTGGCCCTAAATTATCTTACTTACCTGTGAAGCATACAAAGGCTTATTTATATTTTTTGGAGAGTTGTGAAAAAATACATCTAGTTAAGTTCTAGGAATTTTAAAATATGACAGTACGTTGGGAAAGCATGGAGTCCTGATAGGGAGTACAAGGGGGAGGTCCTTGGGCACCCTGACAAGGGGGAGTACACATATGAAGAATGGTAGTTGAAAGGGAAGACACAGGCCCGAGGGTAGACAACAACATGGCTGAGTGAAGCATATGAAATAGCCAGTGAGGATTGTACATGGCAGGCACCTATACCCAGAATGCGGGCTGACCGCGACACAGGACACAGCATTGAAAGGGCTGGGTCTGCCTCATTTGAAGGTATCGGTTGCAGGCTAACTACCTGGTCTTTAATCGGTGTGATTTGAACCTTGGACACATATCTGGGACAAGGTCTCAGGATCATGTGAGAGAAAGCTGGCCCGAATTCCAGGCACAAATCGCTGACCGAAAATGCCTACAGGTCACAGCAGAGCTGTCTTCAAGTACAGAAGTCTCAAGAATACTGAGTCTAGAGGCACTTTGGCCTGTAGAAACACATGGTTCATCCGGGGGCTGAGGGAGCGCCGACACAGTGGAATGACAGCCACACGGTGTGTTCTCACCTGCCATGCTTGTGCCATGCGGTTCTGGGGACCTGATCATAAAGCCAGTGCTGAAGCGGTCACATATGGAGCAATCCGAGTGCCATGACAGCCGCAGCTGATGCCATAAGCCCCAGGAGCCTCTGAAACGATTTCAGAGAGACCATTGTCTTTCTGTTTAAACAGGTCAGCATCAGCTAAGTCATGGTTATCGAGTCCAGCTCCAACCCGAGAAAAGATATCCTTTGCTCTGGGACGAATTTGCTCTTTTCTCGGTTGACCTGAAATCCCAACAGGTTGAGGTGCTGGAGCACCCTGTCTCTGTGCATAATCAATTGATCCCTCGTGTGAGCTAAAATCAGTCATCAAGATAATTAAGTATACAGAAGCCTGCGAGTCGAAGGGGTGCTAGGGCACCCTCCTTGAGCTTGGTGAAAATCCGAGGAGACAGAGAGAGCCCAAAGTGGAGGACTTTGTACTGCCATGCTTGACCATTAAAAGCAAACTGTAAAAACTGGCAGTGGCGTAGAAGAATGGAGACATGAATGGAGACACGACTCTGTGCGATCGTTCAGAACAGCAGCCTGTGCAGACAGCAGTTCAATGCGCATGGATCTAGGACTGGCCGTAGCCCATAATTCTTTTTGGGTACGATAAATACTGGCTGTAAAACCCACTCCTCATCTGAGCTAAAGGGTCTGGCTAGATTGCATCCTTCGCCAGGAGGGCAGCAATCTCCTTACTTAAGACTGGGGCGGATACAGGGCTGGGGGAGCGGTCTTAAGGCCCCACCGATAGATAACTTCCCTCATCCCATCTAACTGCTTCTTCACAGCTGTGAATTTCTGGGTAAATTCACCAACGTTGCTGCTGAACAGGGCAGCCTGGCATATGGGTGTGCTAAGAAAAAGCAGACCTTATCAACGTCATGCATATCAGCCAGGTTTAGCTAGAGGTGGAGTTCCTAGACCACTAGTGTGGCCATGGCCCTTCCCAGGGCATGCAACAGCCAACTTGGTGGTTTGCAGAGCATAGTTAATTGTGATGCAAAGCTCATGCATTAGTCCTGGGTCTGAACCACCCTCGTGCAGCTGGGTCAACGCCTGCACTTCGTAGCACTGGTTCATGGCTATAGCATGCAGGGCAGAAGCAGCCTGGCCGGCAGCTGTGTAGGCTCTGACCCCAAGGGGCGCAGATAACCTGCACACCTTGGACAGGACACGAGGGTGACCGCACCAGGAAGAAGCACCATGCAGGCATGAACTGACCATAATGGCACGCTCAACCCTGTACTGCCTAGTACCCCTGGCTACTCCACTGTCAGGTGTGGTGAGAGTTGAAGCACACGGAGATTGGGCAGAAAAAGGTGTCCTCCAAGACTGTGTGGACTCACTGTGCACTTTCGGGAAGAAGGGGATGGAAGGCTTAGATGGTTTGGGAAAGTATGGCCATCATACGGTCTGCTTCTAGATCCGACGCCTCGCTCATCATCCCAATAGGAGGGAGGGGGTTTGGATCGTCGGACAATGACAGCCCATCCTCCGTTGCAGTGATGAACATCTGGTCCTCTGTGTCATTGAGTAAGAGGGCAACCATCTAAACGGCTAGAGCGTGCTGAGGAGTGGGGGGTCCGCGAGCTAGAAGGCGGCAGATTGACTCCCACTGTAACTTTAAGATTTTGCAGGGGATAACTGGGTTGGTTCGCTTTTGTAAGAGTGAACGCAATCTTAGCTGCGCAACAGACATTCCATCGCAGTGATGGCATGCCCTGCCCGGGAGCACCGCATTAACATGCTGGACCATCATCTGGGTACAGGGAGCCACCGCATTCAGAAACGGTCGAAATGACATTTGAAAAAGACACTTTGCACAACGGTGTTGCTTTTTTAGGAAACTTGTTCCTATATACTAATTGCTCTTAAAGGACCAGATGCAGAGAATGCCCAGGCAAGGAAGAATAGCCCAGCTCTATCACCTGCCACTGTGTATCACAGATGATTGTAATTGTTGCCAGCTGTACACGCTGACACCGCCAACTCATTGGCATTTTATTGGCTTTTTATCAGATGATTGGTTTCTGATGAAATCCTCATAGTTGAAGTTTTCTAAATAGCTCAGTTCCCCTCTGGCTGGGGAAACGTAATTTTCCCATAGTACCTCTAGGTATTTAGGGTTCCTTTGTGTAAATTTTCCATTAGTCAGATTAGTCATGTTTTTTCGATCACTGAATCCAGCACAAAATCAACAAAAAGTAAAAAAATTTTGCAATCCTGCAAAATTCTTATTTTTAACACAAAAAATCACAAAAAAAATGTAAATAATCTAATAAAACATCCTATTCCAAACCATATAATCAATTCAGATTGTCTCTCAAAAAATGACATCTCACCTGTGCCCTCACAACATTACATGGAATTGAGGGATTGTTTTGCAGCCTATGCAGTAAGTAGACGCAGATGAAACATGATTTACATTTGAAGTCAATGCAAAGACGGGATCAGACATCCTGTGGCACAAATCGAGTGAATAACATGGCGCGAATTGCCTGCTTTTGTGCGTTCGACATGCTTTAGGCTGCAAAAGAAAGTGAGAACAAACATCTAACAAATGGAGCAATGAAATAGACAAAAAAAGCAAGCAGCTTACAATATTGGACGTTGCTTCAAGGGTGATGGCAGCTAGACGTGACCGAATTAAGGAAACTTATTTGTGCTTTATGTGTATGGCCGGTAATGTGATGTGCGTCAAATCGATAAATGAATTCGTTTAACTCTTTTCCTGCATTTAACGAGATGAAACACTTCCCTGTCGTTGATGAGTTTTACGGCAATTTGTGTTTTAGGTTTATTAGGGTAGGGGAAGCGCTAACGCATGTCCTGAGTAAGGCAAATTATGTCAGATGCTCCGAGAAGTAAAATCTGAGAGAGAGAGAAAGTAAGATTGCAGTTAAAATAAGAGTAATACAACCTTACTTTGGCTTAATCCGTACCGTTTTAGATCTGCTCTTGACAAGAAAGCAAAATAAAGAAGCTTTATTTTTATGATTTGTGTCATTGTCATTGCGTCAGATTGCACACCTGGCAGGCTGCCTAATATGGTAAATATGATATAAGTTTAATCTTATATTATATATAATCTTATATATTTTCAATTGCAAAACTGTCCGCAAATTTCTCAGAATTACCACCACAAAACCAGTCATCTTTATCACAAAAACATAAAATAAAATAAATAAATCACAAAAAAAATTGTGAATAACTAACTGTGGGTCTGATTAGACTTGTTCCAAAAACTGACCTCTCACAGCATAGCTTCCGTGCCTTCTGTAGCTGCAATGAAGTCCATTTAGGCCTTTTCTCCTCCAGGCCCTGAAGCACCTTATGGACCAAAGGCTTCGGAACACCCTTCTGCTGGCCCAGGCTGACCTGCAGACACTCCGACAGCAGACCCAGTCGATCCTTGGCCCCTCTCTCCAGGGGCTGCCCAGACAGATGCTCCAGGGCATCTCCGTTCTCCAGATCCTGACAAAGACACAGCAGTAAAACCCAAAGGAGCAGGCCTGTGGACCTCAGCTGTTTGGCATGCTGGGAAAGCCTCTTCTCAGCCACGATGAACAGGAAGCGCACAGGTAATGGAAGAGAGGCTATGGTTGACGGAAGGTGGGTGAAGATAAAGGAAAGGGCTTGGATAACTAGATTCATGCTGCCTGATTTGAAAGAAGAAACAAAAGAGAAATTAGTAGGTTTGAATAAAAATGCATATTTTATCATATATATTTTTATTAGTTAGACCAAGCTGATCTCACAAGGAAAGGTAACTATTTTAAGTATTGTCAGAAAAATGTCTGATTTGTACAAAATTTTAAGAGGACGTGCACCCCTAAACACTACCCCTCATACAAATTCTAATGAACTAGTTATGAAAAGGTTATGAATTGCTGAGAGACTGCACTGAGTTTAACTCTAGAATACTAGAGCTGTGGCAAAAATCATTTGAGAAATCGATTCTGCACCAATTGTGAGATATTCAATATGCATTCTCTCTTGAATCGATTGTGAGCTCAACTCAGTACACTTGAATGCTCATGAGAAGAGTGATCATGCTTACAGCTGAGCCATATAGGTCGGTTTTTAGGTTGTGACATTTGTTTAAACACAACTAAGTATGAACACTCTTGTTATTCTCTGAAACATCACCCAATTTTACCAGTGGCTATTTTAGGTTCAAGTCCTATTTGTAAGGATTAAAAAAAAACTCATTCAAGAGAAAACTGATTCAAAACTGATTCAAGAGAGAATATTGATGCATGTTTTAAATCTCATATAAGATGCAGACACAATTTCTTAATTTTCCACCATATTTCTAATAAGAACCACCTCTTATTAGACATACACATTAGTAATGTTTTTTTTCTGCAAAAAAAAAAAAAAAACATAAAATGTCACTGTCCTCACAAATTAACGTTCACAGTCATGAAATAGTATATTATTTAAGCAGCAGAATTATTGCACCTCTATTGAATGATGAATCCCTTGTTTTCTTAATTGAAAGTGCATGGCAATTTTTTTTTCAATTTGGTATATGAAATACCCCTCAAATTTCCTCCAAAAATCTAAAACAAAACACACAAAATCTAAGGACCTTGTGTAAGGAAAGCCTGAGTCAAAAACATGTCTGTCAATCAATCAATCAATTAATCAATTAATCAATCAATCAATCAATCAATCAATCAATCAATCAATCATTCATTTGCTTATTAAAGAAATGTAAGCTATATATCCTATTTGGCATATAAGTGATTTTACATGTACGCTACAGGAGGCTTTGCCCTTTAATCATGTTCCAGTAGAGCATGATCACAAGACGGGCTCTGTTATTACGGTCATTATAGGCTAAAGTGAATATCTATAGCTAGAGACATCAATAGGATACCTATCTGTTCAGAAAAAAAAAAATGCTTGAAGTGAGCAAGTGTAAACATGCCCTAGGACAGCACAAAAAAGTTAAAGTTCTTCACAAAGTTTCATGCCATTTCGTTAACAAATACCGACAAAAATATGAGCCTTGATTAAAGCAGTCAATAACTGAACAATGCTTGATTTTCTCTTCTATGATTGCTGATTGAACACGTTTTTTTTTTTTTAAATCTACTTGCAATTTCTTTATTGATTTCTTTATCTTTTTTTTTTTTTTTTTTTTTTTTAAGATTATGAATACATGTGGGCTGCTGCACATCCCTGTGTGTAATAAGTAACCTATCACGAGCGGGATCTTTAAATGACAACAATAACAACAATTTTAAAAAAAATAAAAACCTTGAGCCAGATGCCTCGAAATAGCAAGTGGATGCAAATATTTGCTATTTAAACAACGTGGTGTGGGATGTAATATATGTATAAGAAGAGGGTTGCAGCTGGAAGGGCATCTGCTGTGTAAAACATATGCTGGATAAGTTGGTGGTTCATTCTGCTGTGGCGACCCCAGATTAATAAAGGGACTAAGCTGAAAAGAATATATAAAAGAATATATTCGAATATATATATATATATATATATAAATATTCGAACAGATGGACGGACGAAAAAACATGCTTTTTTTAAACCATTTTAAGGTCAATGATTAACCTCTTTAAGCTATATTTTTGTTTGATAGTCTACAGAACAAATCATCATTATACAATAACTTGCCTAATTACCCTAACCTGCCGAGTTAACCTAGTTAAGCCTTTAAATGTCATTATAAGCCATTAAGAAGTGTTCTTGAAAAATATCTAATCAAATGTTATTTACTGTCATCATGGCAAAGATAAAATAAATCAGTTATTAGAAATGAGTTAATAAACTATTATACATAACATAACTATTATACATAACTATACATAACTATTATACATAACTATTATGTTTAGAAATGTTTTGGAAAAAAAAAAACTCCCCGTAACAGAAATTGGGGAAAAAATAAACAGGGGGGCTAATAATTCAGGGGGGCTAACAATTCTGACTTCAACTGTATATGGAAAAAAACTTTACATACTCTTGTTGATATCATTACACTTCTGATCTTGTGCAATGTAGTTCCACTCTTTTGGAATTTTGCCAAGGATGTTTTCAGGTAGTTGCTGTCGAACTAGGGGTCCAGATGGGTCTTTGCATGACTGCATCATATTGACCAGCTGGATCTGAAGTTTGTAGGTGGATTCGCAAACAACAGATTTGATGTACTTGAACAAGGCTGGATCTTCTTTACTAGTCTCTGGAAGAAAGACAAAACTCTTAAGTTAGATCAGTTCAACAATTGTTATGCATTCATACATTCATTTTCTTTTCGGCTAGTCTGTTTATTAATATGGAGTCGCCACAACTTATAAGTTGATAAGTTGAACTGCCAACTTATCCAGCATATGTTTACGCACTGGATGCCCTTCCAGCTGCAACCCATCACTGGGAAACATCCATACACACTGATTTACACACATACACTATGGCCTATTTAGCTTACACAACACAAATGGCAACTGAGGCCGAGGCTCGAACCAGTGACCTTCTTGCTGTGAAGTGATTGTGCTACCCAATGCATCACCTTGCTGCCCAATTGTAATCCAAACAACCTTTTTTTTTGTCTGTATTATATTTGATTGCAAGCTGTTAACTCAGAGAATAAATTCATCAAGGATATTAGTGTCTGGAGGCTGTTTCCTTTTTTGATTTAATGTACTTTAAGTACTTTAAAGTACTTTAAGCTAATAGATTTTAGTGGTTCAATTTGGTATTTGAATGTTGTATTTTCAAGTCTACTTTATCTCTGCAACATTAAAATATGTTTTAATCAGAAATAAATAATAATAGTTATTATTATTTTGCATGTTTTGCTTAGAAAAGAGTCAAATTAAATTAAACGGAAAAAAATGGTCAAATTATTATTATTATGATTATTATGATTATGATTATTATTATTATTATTATGTATTTTAACAAATAAAAAATAAAAAAATAAAAATAAACATTATGCATCGTACATGTACATTACATATATGTATAATAGCTTGCCACTTCCCTTCAAACCACCAGGTTTTACCCATTTGTTAGCAAGAGGAAATAATTCAATCATTTAAAATGCTGTCACATTTAATGTGATACATTATTTCTTTATATATGTTTACAAGTGTATATTTTTTAGATCTGAAAAAAATATATAAACAATGTAAACATTAAATACGCATTAACGTGCTATTGAATTCTGTATATAAAAGCATACTTGGAATTTAAACTGAGGTGTATTAAACATTATGATACATAATCCCTTATACATGTTAATGTGGGCAACGCATTGGCGCAGTAGGTAGTGCTGTTGCCTCACAGCAAGAAGGTTGCATGTTCTCCCTCCGTATGCGTGGGTTTCCTCCGAGTGCTCGGTTTCCCCCACTGTCCAAAGACATGTGGTACAGGTGAATTGGGTAGGCTAAATTGTCCGTAGTGTAAGAGTGTGTGTGAATGAGTGTGTGTGGATGTTTCCCAGAGATAGGTTGCGGCTGGAAAGGCATCCTCTGCATTAAAATGTGCTAGATAAGCTGGCGGTTCACTCCGCTGTGGTGACCCTGGATTAATAAAGGGACTTAGCTGAAAAGAAAATGAATGAATGAATGAACATGTTAATTTGATTATGTCAAAACATTCCTTTACAAAAAACCAATGGACAGAACAAATCCACCTCTGCATGAATGTTATATATCCATTTTGTGTGGTTATTTTTAGCAAATAATAAGAAAAAATAATTATAAGTTTGTTTGGCAAAATGTACTAAAAGAACTGACAAAATAATTTAAATATTTTCCCATCTCGCCCAATTAGCGCTAAGAAAGCTTTATGAGATGATGCTTAAGGAGGAATGGACATGGTCAATTAAGCCTAAAAGCACAACACCTTACATCAGGATAACAGCACACACTCCTGCTCCCTCCTCTGTCATTTTTCTCATTTGTGCAACAATAATTACCTCTCACATATAATAAAACACACACACACACACACACACAAAATACATGAGAGCTCTAGCTTGGATTAAACCCCCTGAATCAAAGCCGAATCAAAAGGTGTCAAGTCATAATTGCAGTTTCCATGTCAGTATGCAAAATCAATACGCTAACCATTAACACACCAGAAAACGTTCATGCTGTGGCTTTTACAGCAAGGGAGAAAGGAAAAGGCTGAAATGTAAATAAATACGCAATCAAAGAGACAGCTGAAGGTTTAATTATGGCTTTGATTTGATGATGGGTCTCCAGCTGGTCAGATTTGATATTGAGGCAATTAGAGGACACAATGGGGGCACATGATGATAGCGATTTTCAACCGGACTCCAAAAGAATGGCCACATCAGACTACAACTGATCACGTTTACATGCACACTAATAGGCTGATAATAGCACAAACAAAAAAAACTACTAACTGAAATAACCGTTTTCCCATTTTACATGCAAACCATAGCATGTAGATGTAAGAAATGCTTGTTTACAAGACTTATATACAAATAAATCGATTGTGAATAAAACTTTCTGAATATAATTTGATATGTAAGGTGTCATAACTGTTATCTATTAAACGTGCATCATTTGAAATACTGAAATACTTTAAGTTCATCTTCATGAGATAAAAAAGCATTTTTTTTAACAATTCTTTGGCTTAAAATAATTTGTGGTATATTACAACTTCTCTTGCTGCAAAACATTTGAGCTGTCTGCGAGCATGTAAATAAATAGTTTACCCCAAATCTTTAATTAATTCCCTAATGACACCCTCAAATGGTTCCAAACCAAGTGATGCCAAAATTTGTAATTGAGTAAATCCAGGAATAAAACCAGAAAAAATGTTACCGTGACCGACGTCCACCAAACAATTTCAGTTTTCCCGGAACATAATGTCATTAAACTTGTCATATAGCATTATGGGTCAGTCATGGATAATAAAAACATAAAGCTACTGTTGGAAAAAGGAATATATTTTTTATTATTTTTGTCTTCTTTTCTTTTCATTAAACAATTGTATTTGCATTGCTTAAAGGTTATATATATAAAATAAACCTCTTCTCATGAGTGTGATATGCCTTGTACACTAATAAAACATTTTTGCAAAAAGAGATGAAGCTGATAGACATGCCTGATTGTCTAAAATTAACTTGAGCTCTGTAGCTAAACGTCCAGTGAGCTGAGAATATGTGCAGTTTAGAAGTCTTATGCTTTTTATGTTGTGCAAAGAATTCATAGAAAAAGAGGATGTATGTATGGGTGCGGCCAATAGTGGACTGGAGAATGATTGACAAGTCACAAATTTCACTAAATTCCACCTGTTTACCAAATCAAGTGAATCTAATTGGATTTCATATTAGGATTTTAGTTAAGATACTCCCAAAAGAATTCTGCAGAAATCGGCTGATTTTAACCAAAATTCTCAGCAGAAATAGCAAAAAACGCCTGCAAACTCCTTCTGGCCCAAATTATGACAAACTAAGCCTTTAAGAAGTTAGCCATTTAGTCACGTTTTCTGGATGATGTGATATTGCTTTGCTTCTGTCTCCCAGCTATCCTGATCCATTCATGCGTTTCATCTTCTTGAGATCTCTTTTAATCAGGCACATTATCAGATTTACTCATGGTTTTAAAATATAAAAATATGCTTTAGTGTCTTTTGCCATTTTGAAAATAATATTATTTAAGTTGGAAACTATGGCTGAGTACACTTTAAAACATCTGAAATGTTGTTTTGGTTATTCTAAAATCTCTTAACCATTTCTGTATTAGTGTTATTACATCATTAATTACCTCCAGAGTCAAGTCAAGAGCATCTGCGCTCAGCATCTCACGCCTTCAAATGCCACCAAGCAATCATTGCATGTCTGCTTTGTCTTCTAAGGTGCAAGTATTTTATTTAATAAGACAAAAATGATGCAGCTTTTCCTACCACTGCACATTCTGGTTTTACTTTTGATATTTCAGTTCATCAGGAAGTGATGAATTTGTTCACTTAGACTTACTAGATGGATATACTACTTTATTCGCACATCTTTTATACAATATTCCTGTTTTGTGCATAAATTTAATTTGCATCTTTGGACGGAAAGACAGTGATCTAAACGCAAGGTCTAAAGCACATAGCACAGGTGCAATTAGGATGTTTAAGGATGAAAAAAATAGTTGGTGCACCTGGCCCATGGTCTTAAAGCGTTGTTCTTATTTTCTTAATGAGTTAACAGTGTTTTTTAGACATAACATGCATTAAACCAATCAGTCTTATAACCTATTCCTTTAAAGAGCAAGTTGAGGTCACATAATGGCATATTCACTATTTACATGGTGGACTGTACACAGAGAAACTGAATACTAAACTAGCAGTGAAACAGATTTGCTAGTATATAAGGCAGGGGCGGACTGGGACAAAAATTCAGCCCTGGCACTGTAGCCACATCAGCCCACATTAACACACCAACACAGCCCCACCCACGGACACGCACATTTAGTATTTATTTTGGTGTACAGATGGTATAATAATATGACATTCTTGCCAGATTTTGATAACGTCCGGGTGACCTCGGATTGGGTTGGTCTATCTTCAGGCGGCCGTCGCCGATTGGGCCAAAGGCTTAACATTTGTTATTATTATTATTATTATTATTATTATTATTATTATATTTTTTTTAAATCAACATCATAATATCACATCTAGCAAGAGGTAAAAGCTGCCTGCACGTAAAAAATACATATTTAAAAAAAAACTGACCGGCCCACATTTAAAAATTGTTCCGGCCCTTCTGGCATTTGCCAGAATTGCCAGATGGCCAGTCCGCCCCTGATATAAGGTTAAAATATGCAAGCACTTCAGCCCTCCGAAAAGAAGAGGGCAAGGAAGGAATTAGCATTTTTTATATTGATGTAGCCAATAATAATCTTTTACATTTTAATCCTTCATTTACAAGTATTTTAAAATTATTCCGTTCTCTTATTCAAAGAAAACATTATAATGATTTACATTTTGTAAAGTCTGTTTTGGGTTAGCATACTGTATGCGTGGAAGCGATAATGTTCGTGAATAATTCACAGCAAGAAAGACAAAAGACACTCCCCCACTGGCTAATGTTCACCCATCAATGGCATTGTAAAGTAATGTCCAGCTGGAAAAGCTAGCCCAAACTAAATACATGTTGTATTACTTGCTGTATTATAACCATGTAAACACTATGGGTAAACAATGTATGTGCACTTATACAGCAGGCACAAAAAAACTTTTATTTGAAATTATATAAAATGTGTTTGCAAAATTGTTGTAATAAAAATGTTCTTGTGCATTAAGCTTAATCAAGTTAATAACATGCATGAAAACGCACTCATTGTTTTAGACATCAAAACAAACGTGAGACAAATCAGGGAAAACATTTCTTGAATGGCTGCACCTGCTAGGTTGTAAAAGTGCTCCCAAAGGTGCCTGCGGTCCAGGTATCCCTCAAGAGCTCGAGTTAAAGCCCTAGGGAAGTGGTTTACAGAAGACAGAATGGCAAAAACAGCTTCCAAAAAATCTTCTGCAGCTGACATTGGAGTATTAGGAGACTCCTCTGTTCCTCCATCCACACACAGACCTGAAAGTAAATTAAAATGTTTGTTTTAAATTGTGCAATATGTTGCATTAAAAAAAAAGGTCTGACAGAAAGTGACATTTGTTTAATAAAAATATGCGTACCTCTTTTAAGCTGCTTTTTTTATATCTTTGCTTACATGTATGTTTAATTGTCATATGGTCTGTGTTGTATGTTTTTTCCATTTGATGTATTCCTGCTCCAATTGTACATAATATAATAAACTGAACTGAATGGAACACAACTACTACATTACTAACTATTAACTACTAAATAGCATATGAGAAGTTGAATAAAACAAATGAATAATAAATTAAATAAAATTAAATAATAAAATTGAAAATAATAAATAATAATAAACAGATTTATTTATTTATTTTTATTTATATATATATATATATATATATATATATATATTTATAGATTTGCAGTAAAGATTAACTAATAAATATATATATATATATATATATATATATATATATATATATATATATATATATATATATATATATATATATATTAGTTAATCTTTACTGCAAATCTAATAAAAAATTTAAAAATATGTAAAAATAAATAATAATAATAATAATAATAATAATAATATTAATAATAATAATAATAATAATAAATGTGCATTCAATGTAGGAGAATGGATTAAATTGAATGCTGCCCCTAATGATATTTTTTTCTCCTAACTAAACATTACAATATAATATAATATAATATAATATAATATAATATAATATAATATAATATAATATAATATAATACAAAAATATTATAAAATACAAAATAAAATAAAATATAATATACAATAAAAAATAAAATAATACAAATATTATATAATTTAATAGAATACAAAATAGAATATAAAATAGAATATATAATATCATTTAAAATAAAATAAAAAAATCATAAAATGAATTTTTTAAAAATGATTTTATTTATTTTTGATATTTTCAGGTTTTTAACCTTGATTGCTGTGTTTAATTTTGACTTGACAAACTGAAAAATGTGTAGAGCAACAATAATGATGAAAAACTTAACAAAAAGCAATGCTGAATTTGTACTACTGAACAGGCTATCTGACTATTCTTTACATATAGCAACAATAATATAAAGCAAATGAGCAAAAAGCACAAGAATGTATGTCTTGAAAATCAATATAGGTCAGAATTTCCATAAAGCAAAAAGTCAGCAAAAATGTGTTTGAAACAAAACATACAATATGAAAGCACATTAAGATGATGTGAATGTCCTTGTCTACATGTAGTGAGGTTGTAAAGAGATGCTGGACACTTGTCTTTGCTTCAGCTCCTGTCAGTCTCACTTCCTACAGATGACAGGCGTTTGAATAAGCTATTGAATGCAACGCAGCATTCGCTGAGTGTCTTTGATAAAAAGCAGGCTGCTGTTTGCACTTTTTTGACAAACGTTAGGCTCTTTTGAAATGACAGGCCTAAATTACCTGTTGTAGTAGAGTGTGCAGTTTTGCCAACACTGCTGTGCTTAGCAGGGATCCTGACTTCTGTTACTAGTGAGAGACTGATGGGCTTTTGGTAGAAAACAGTATAGTGTATATATACCATTTTACTTTGCAATACTTTATAAGAGATTGTTTGAGCGAGATTGCCTTGTTCTTTCACTGTTATTATCTTGTTTACTGTACCATATCACAAGTTGCTATGTGTATATCTTGGTCAGGTACTAATAACCAACCCCTTAATTTAACCTTAACCCATGTAGTTAACTATAAGCTATACTGCACTGTAAAAACACAATAAAAACATGTACAGTAAAACATTATGTATTCTAGTTCAAATCATTCCACCATTATTTTATACATGAATGGCCAAAACATATTTAAAAAAAGTCCAAAATCAAACTAAAAGTGCTCTGGGGTGGCTCAAATAACGTGTCGGTGATCTTTGGGCAAGGGATTCATCAGAACAAACAACAAAAGTCAGTCTAAGGTGCACGAAAGATGTGGAAAAAAATATTATTATATTTTAAAATATCGAGTGCTTTGGACTGATTCTTGCTGTATACTTTTTTGTTTGTTTTTAGTTAAAAGCAGTGCAGTTTTAATGTACAAAAATAATTTTTGTTACTTAAAATAAAACAAAGCTTTATAGGAATAGTTCATCCAAAGCTGAAAATATTTGGACCATGGACGTCAATTGTTTCAGCTATGTTCAAAATATCCTATTTAGGGCCCTTTCATACACCTGGCGCAATAAGGCACGATTTGTTGCTATTTTCAGACCAGCACAACTCTAATTTTCACGTTTTGTGCCATGTTTCTTAAATAGCAAATCCATTTGCACCACTTTGTGGACTCGTGGATATGCTGGTCAAAATAGGATATGTGTGAAGGCTCATTGTTGGCGCGTTGCTATTTTGAGAAACTGAAATAGACCGCACTATTGACCAACTAAAACCTAGTCAAAGTCCAGTGCAGAGTGCATTAGTTATGCACCTATGCAGGTCTAAACACTAACACATTGCTTAATACACACAGGATGCACAGCAATATGCAAATATCTTTACATACAGTATGAAAAAAATTAATGGATTAAAATGTTACAAAAAGTATTATTTTCTACACAAATATAAAAACCACTGCCTCCATGCCTTCTATATGTCGGGGTGGGGGGGGGGTGTTGTTTTAGCTTATTCATGACAATTTGCATTTGTTTAATGTAATTATTACTATCAGTATCATTTATTATATGCATATTTACATTTGTTTTAATAAAAACAGGTTTAAAAAACTAGTCTGCCTGTTGGGTTTTGGAGATGTCTGCATCACCATATGGGGCATAACACTTTTAAAACACGAATGATTACAGGTCCAACAAACAAATGAAAAATAAAGATATAGCTAAATAAGTTGCAAAATGTAAATATTGTACTGTATTTTCAACTTTCTGATGATGGTGTTATTCATCTGTCATTATCCACAATATAATGCGGTCATATATTTCTTTAAAAATGTATGACTGTATACAATGTATTTTGTGACAGCACAATACAACTAAGAGACTTTTATTTTGTCCAAGATAATGTATACTGTGTACAGTATACAGTTGACGTCAGAATTATTAGCCCCCTTTGAATTTCTGTCTTTAAGGACATTTTCACAGTTTGTCTGATACTATTTTTTCTTCCGGAGAAAGTCTGTATATATAAATGTCTAAAATAAACAAGATCTATATTGATTCAATGTTGACCAGGTTCTAATCTAGCCTGTCACAAATTCTTAACTCCCGATGCATCAAAAGACAAACACAGCATAAAACTTGATGACAGGCTTTTGCGAACAGGAATATACTCATATGAAAAGCCACAAGGGGCAGTAGAGGGTTGCACAGGTTAATGATCTGCCTCTTCGCAATCATCTGTTTACGAGCCACCGAATGAACCGTGATAAATGAACTGCTGGTATTTCTCGAGGGAAGGGATTCCACAAACCAATTCTATCCTCCGCTAACAAACCTTTTGCAACCTTGACGTGTTGCCAACAAACACACCTGTTGATTTTCTAGCAGACCTCACAGATGAGTTTCCACTGGAGGCCCTTAATTGGAACAAGACATCGCTATCAGTCCCTCGAAGAATCCCACCAACAAGCTTCCTATTTAGAGCACAGCTTAGCGCTTAAACGCTCCCAAACTGCGCTGAGAGACAGCGACGCGGGCGAGGAAACTTTAAAAGAGCTTTTCTCTAAACGCTAGACAGCAAAGCCGCCGCGTTTCTTCTTAATTAGCCAGGCTGCGGCCAGGCAGTGTTGATTTACGGCGACGTGATTCTCCACACCAGACGTGCACTCAGCCCAGCTTGGTTATTAATGAGCTTCCCCGTAATGTGAATTAATGTGCGAGCACAAAACAGCCTTTAAAGGTTAGACTTTTCAGAGTGGAGGGAAGAAAGAGGAAAATCTTTAAAGGTCATTCACTTTGCTCTCACATGAGTGTTTATTACTAAGCTCTATTGATTTCAAAATGATGAGGAGGGCGATGAGCGCGACGATGACTGAGGAAAACGACATCCTGGATGAATCCGAGGACCAAATACACAAAATACGATCAGTACTTTAAAATGATTACCTTGGAAATATACGTTTTATGTGTATTCTGAGCTGTTTTGAGAGACTGAATCATATATAGATATTGAGTATAACTGTATGATTCTCATTTTATTTTTGTTACAATGACAGAACAAATAAGTAAGCAATAAAAATAAACAAATAAGCAATAATAAATAAATAAATAAATTAGCCATAATAAATAAATAAATAAATAAGCAATAATAAATGAATGAATAAATAAATAAATAAATAAATAAGCAATACAAAATAAATAAATAAATAAGCAATAATAAATTAATGAATAAATAAATAAATAAGCAATACAAAATAAATAAATAAATAAGCAATAATAATAAATAAACAAGCAATAATAAATAAATAAATACCTTAATAAACAAACAATAATAAATACATAATAAATAAATAAATAAATAAATAAATAAATAAATAAATAAATAAATAAATAAATAAATAAATAAAAGACAAGAAAACAATAAATCAAAACAAAAACTATCAAATTGAATCAAGATAAATAAACAAATAGAAAATTAGCAAAAAAAATATAGCTTGCTTTGTTTATGTTATATATATTTGCATAAGTATGAAAACAAAAGAGTAAATGTATTCTAGACCTACAATATCACATTCACATTTAATGTTGTAAATGGGAATTTTTGATCTCACATGATTGTTTGTTACTGAGTTCTATTGATAAAGAAATAATTAAGAGGGTGATGAGTGAGTAAAAGGACATGCCAAATTAATCTGTGGACAAAACATTTATCTCATGAAGCTGACCTGCACACAAAGTGATTTTAATCCAGGTGGATCTGTCTTGCTTCATAAAAATCAACACAATGGAGTTATAAGTACAACCACAAATCAGAAAAGTTTGAAACATTATGAAAAACAC